CAAAGCTAAATTAAAAGAGGCAGAAACTTTAAATTAAATAAACACAAAATAAGTTTCTAAAAATTAAATTAAATTAAAAACGCAATTTTTTAACAGTAAAATCTAAATATTAAAAGAAAACTATGAAAAATGAAATGAAAAAAAAATAAGTTTCGAAAAATTAAATTACATAATTAAAAAAAAATCCCTTAAATTAACACCAAAAAAACTAAAAATTGTATCTCTAATGTAAAACAAAAAAATTAAAAATTCAAAGAAGGTTAAACTCAAAAGGTAAAGAAAGAAAACACACTCAAACTAAGTTTCTAAAAATTAAATAGAATGAAAAAAAATGTATACTTTTAATTAACAATAAAATCTAACTAGAAGAAAATTTAATGATAAAAGAGAAAAAATGGTATTAAAAAAGAGAAATAAAACAAGTTTCAAAAAATTAAATTATATTAAAAAATGTTTCTTAAGTAAAAAAATTTATTTTACTAAAAACAGAAAACAATACATAAAATAAGTTTCTAAAAGTTAAATGACAATAAAAATGTGTACATACATACATATGTATATGTACATATTTTGTAATTTTAAAATAATAAAATATAAAAACTTTAATACAATTATATAAAAAAATAAGTAAATAATACAAATTGTCGTCAAATAAAAGAGAATTTTAAGGAAATTCAAAAAATATACAAATCTTCAAAGATAACCCTAGTGTAAATAAATAAAAATGTGTGCGTACACACATACATATTTGCAATTACAATTGCATATATGTACTACGCGTGGGTTCGTATTTATTATTGCACATGTCAGAAATAATGCAAAAGGCAGNCAAAAATATATAAATCTTCAAAGATAACCCTAGTGTAAATAAATAAAAACGTGTGCGTACACACATACATATTTGTAATTACAATTGCATATATGTACTACGCGTGGGTTCGTATTTATTATTGCACATGTCAGAAATAATGCAAAAGGCAGGTTGGCGAATTGGAAATTTTACTGCGGAATCAAAAAATCATTTAAAACGCTTCAAACCCATTCTAAAAGTGGGGATAAATCTTGTAGTTTTCAAAGCTTATCTTTTTATTTTAGCATGGAACTGTATTTAAGAGCAAACTTATCAAATATTTAAAAGAATTCATTTTCAAAAAGATGTCAAGTAAGGCCTTTTGCAGTAATATCACCGACACATGCATGCAAGTCATGCGCAGATGTACATTAGACCGCACCGCCTCAGAAGCAAACAAGAAAAGTTCGCCGTACAGTCTAAAATATTTTTGTAATACATTTTGCGGTGACACGTGCATTCGGAAATAAATTATTTTTTTTATATAGTTAATATAATGGCATTAGGGTGGTAGGAACTGAGATCTGGTGGATAAGTACTGCAATGTCGGGGATGACGTCAATGAACTTTGGAACAAGAACATCGATGTATCATACTTTAAGATCCGAATGTAAATGCCGAAAAATGTAAAAACACAGCCTCAACATTCAGACAAAATTTATTTATTTTTTTTTTTTAATATTCCTGCAAAGTACTTTGGACTCAGTGGTGTCCGGGGATCGTTTTTTTCCAGAGACCATAACGATTAAAAGAAATAAAATTAAATATTGCTCTATAATTATTACTGATTAATGGAAAAGTTGTTTTCGTCTCGCGGGACGATTATTTTAAGACGAATATGATTCACGTCCTTCTCATAATAATTATATAGCATTTTTATTTATTTCGTCCCTCGGGACGTTTATTTCAAGACGAATATGATTTACGTCTTCTCTTAATAATTATGGGAGTTTTATTGAAATGAAACTTCTTAATTGAGTTCGGAGATTTGACGCGTTAAATATTTAACGCCACGATTATTCATGTCATCAAATCTGTGTCGTTCATTCGATTTTCAAAAATGAGGTGTCAAATTAAAGAGCTTTTTTACGTGGTTTTAGTTTTTTGAAAAGGGCTGCCGCATCGGCAGTACAATTACCGATTCTTCTAAGAGAAAACGTAAACCATTGACGTCTTGAAATAAACGTCACGAGAGATTAGAAAAAAAGTCGAATGTAATTATTATGAAAAGAAATCATTCATTTCCGTTTTAAAATAAACATCCCACGAGACGAAAAATAAATAAAAGTCCCGCATAATTATTATGAGAAGAAGTAAATATTGACGTTTTTGATCTAAAATATTAGGATACTAGTACGGTCTAATGTACATGCATATGTAAATAAATATGTATTTAAAATCTGCCGTGTAATGCATTGTTAGAAAACGTGGTTGAACAGCCGGTTTCACTTAAACTAATACCCATGAAGTACTTGCTCTCATTTGACTCTCAGCGTTTATTTTAATTTAGTTCTCACAAACAATTTACATATCGTCGTTTAAAGTGCAAGAAATTAATTTCCAGAGCGTAAAAACACTCAAATTGCAAAATGGTTCTCTTTTTTATAAAGCAATCGCATTTCTGGCTAGTATATTTCAGGACGAATGGATAAGGATTGAGCCAAGAGCTTGTGTGAGCAAATCCAATTTTAGGCAGCCAATGTCAGTTACGCGGTTTTGCAGAATGACTATACGCGGTTTGGTACTTTAAACGACGATAGGTGTATGTACTTATACATATGTAAGTACATCAGATACGGCAAATTTCATTGCATTTTCGTTACGTTCTTCGTTGAGTGCACGCTAAAGTTCTCCTATGTATGTTCGTAAATTTAGGGCCGGTTACTCAATGTCTGGTTAACACTAATCTGTGGTTAAACATAGTTATCGACGTTACCGACTCCCTCTTGTATGCATGGAGTCGAAGACATCGATACCAATGTTTAACCGGAGATTAGTGTTAACCAGGCATTGAGTAACCGGCCCTTAGTGAATCCGTAAAACCGAGAATGACTTGACTTATTCCCTAACATAGTTTCCTTGGACCTCTCAATGCACTTCATCCTGCATTTTTTCCAATTTACTGATGTCATCCGAATAACACGATTACTTTAGGTCCTCAAAGTTGGCGTGTTTTTGAGCAATGATTCCATTTATGAAGCCAAATTTGTTTCTAAACATGTTTGCATTCCTTTGAACCAATTTTCGAAACAGTTTTCCCACTCTGAAGTTAGTACCTAAGATTCTCGAAGGCCAAATAAAAACGGTTGTCACCAGGCTGACAGGTGGATGACGTATTAATTCTTAGGACCGGTTGCTCAAAGCCTGGTTGACACTAATCCCCGATTAAACATCATTATCGACGTTACCGACACCGTGTTATATATATGGAGTCGAAAACGTCGATAACGATGTTAACCGGTGATTAGTGTCAACCAGGCTTTGAGCAACCGGCCCTTAGTGTTTTGCGCTGATGAATGAAAGCTCGCATTTTCGCGATGGCGAGTGACGGTCCTTCGGAGACTGGTTTTCCTCAATTGCCCGATGACTTACGGCAAACAAATAGTTGTCGATCATTAAGTGCCTAAAAATTCTTCGTTGGTAAGGTAGTACAATTGCGGAGAGATTGGAAGTAGTTTATAGGGCAAAATATTCGTGAAAATGTTTATTGAATATTGAGTGCAACAGAACAACGGTTCTACCTTACTATATTTTTATCATGATCTAAGCAAGTGTCAAAATGGAAGAGCGTAAGTAAAATGCGCTCACTAAAAGAGAATAACAGCAACACACAACGGCAACAAAAAAACTAGTGTCAAATAAGAATAGAAATGTATGTACAAAACAAATTCCCACAAGCACATGCACAATAAACACTTACTATATCAATTATTTTTTGCCTCCTTCCATTTTCAATTCACTTTTCGTGTATTCTTTAATTTCCGTTAATTTAAATTCAGTTGAGTTTGACACATTTCAAGATTTTGCCAGCAAAAATTCTTCTGACTGATAGCCCAGTTATGCATACTTAGCTTTGCATGAGAGTTATCACATAAGTTTCGGTTACACGGGCTTTGCGTGTAAGCGGTTACCCAATGCATAGCACTTAACATGTAGAATTCTGTTGGGTTTTGATTTTTACGTAAAAATTGTGTAGCAGTGCAAGTATGCATAACTGGGCTATAAATCTGACTTCTTCGGTCTGAAGAGTCACAGTTGATCTCTTATTTCTGCTGTCATTTTCAAGTTAGGAAACGCTTTTGGACTAAATCTGACAACTTCGGACTATTTCTGGGAGATAACGAACGCAACTAACCCAGCTATCAGATATCTGGCAGGATCTATTGCAATCGGTTATACATAGATAAGCAAAGAAATATATTCACAATAAAGTTTTTAATATGTATTGAATTAATTGCAATTTAAAGATTAATTGAAATTAAATTTTTAATTGCACACGGCAATTAATTCAATTGCAATTACTTTTTTGATAAAAAAAGTTCTTCTGGAATAATCAAAATATTTCCTTTTGCAAAAGTTGAAGTATCTTTGGAGGAGATCTGATGGGTAATGAGCAGAAAGGGTACTTGAGGTGAATGAACTTAGAAAATAATAATAAAATTTTGTACTCCAGATAGGAACAGCAATAGTTGTGTTTTCTTGGGTTATACAGCTCAGTTATTTCTCACGGAAAGGATCTGGATCATTATTATTGGGATTGGCAGCACTAATTTTATACTACTAGCATGAGGATGGCGAAATTACAAAATTGAACTCACTAAATGCGGAAAAGTACATTCGAATGAAATAGTATTGACTTAAATAAATATCTAACATAACGGCTATTTATTTGAATCAAGTTAAGAGAAACAAATGGCAGAATACCTGTTTGTGTATACATTCATTTGTCAGTGCTACCAAACCTCTTCTTCTTCTTCTTCTTCTTCTACCAAACCGTCCAGCAAATTATCAGTGAAGCAAAAGAAACACAGCGGACCATAAATATAAGCAAGGAAATTCAGCAAATATACCTGTCATACTTTAAGATCCGACTGAAAAATGTAAAAAGGCAGCGACGTTCTTTTCTGGAACTGTCTAATGTTTTTATTCATCACATTTTTTTTTTATGTACGCTCATATTCTTAGATTAATGTATACCTATAACGCTATATAAGCTGAGAAAACCTAAGAGCCTTAGTTGAAAAGAGGATTTCCAAACCATTTCTAAACTTAACTATAAAAATGAAAGAGCGAGAAAATGGTCCGTCAACCTAAACCGAAAACGAGGACCCACGAGAACCGAGCGATGTTCTCTCCATAAAATAAATAGTTGAAATGTCCTTTTTTTCTTTCTTTTCTCTTCTTTCTAATGAACTTAAAACTAGGTAATCAGTTTCCCATGTAGCGGCTTTCACAAACTATTACGGTATTCACATGAGGCGATTTTGCAGGCAACTTATAGTTGAAAGCAACAATCGTCTGGTGTGAACGGTCTTTCATCGCTTCCAATGAAGTTTAGGGGGCCTCTAAAATCCCTGGAAAATCGCCTCATGTGAACACCGTTTATAGACCACTGAAAACTGCCTGTTAAAATAAGCGCAACAACTTTTGCTTTTATATTTTTTCTCAACATCTTTTAAAACATTTTGAATTTTAAATATGTATTTAAATATGCTACCAAACTGCATTATTTAAAATATAAAAATTATTTATAAGAATAATTTTTATCTGTATATAGTAAGTATTTACAAGTATAAGCCCAATACATAATATGTATAAAACGAATTTTTTGTGAAGTAACTAAGTAATGGCAATATATTTCCATAATAAAATATAGCAAACTTTTGTTGAAACAACTCAATAATTTTAATATTAAATATACTTATATGTATAACGAAGCACGTATTTAGTCTTTTCTTTACTTCATATGCATCTACGCCCTGTATACCAAAAACTAAATCCTAAGGCCCAGTTTTTCAGTGCCAATTTAAACTTAGATTAAGTGAACTGAGTTTCAATTTAACAGCTGGCTGACATTTGATTGGCTGATCTTAGTTTAAACCAGTCAGATCGGGCGTTTAAACTTAGTGATTACTAAGTAGCCGCAGTTTGAGTGGCAGCAGAAAAAAATATCCCTTGCTCCTCAGAGGTATCACTTTTCAGCCACAACTATTGTGATGTTGTTTTTGTTCGAACAAAGTGCGGTATTTAGTGCAGTGTCCAAATCATCATCCCTCTCTGACAGCGCAGGTGCTTCTTCACTACTTTGTGCCACAATTTTGTACTCTCCTTCAACAGGCGGGAGTGGCATTTTATTTGTACTTAAAGTTTGCATTTCAGCGCCTGCCAATGGATTGTCGAAACTCGGTGGTATTAAACGTTTTCTAAAAGGAAATATACATTTTAATTATTAGTATAGGAGCGTCAAGAAACGAAAAACCGTCCACTCACTTTGATAGCAGCAGCCATATCATCGCCACCAACATCATTACCGACGTTATACCAAACGTCCAATAAGTACCATACCGTGTGTAAATCACACCCACAAAAACAGGCCCCAGCACGCGCGATAAACAACCCGCACCGGTCATCAGACCCATCCAAACACCTTGCGGTCGTGGTCCCAACACCTTAGAGAATATCGTCTGTATTAATGTCACACCAATCGGATAGCCAATCGATGTAAAAGCATAACCGATTATAAATTGTGTAAGCGTTAGTGCTGGTGTACGTTCACACCACGGCTGTGTTGAGGGGCAACCTAGGAAAATTTCATCATCCGGGCTGAGATCTATTGTAGCGTTGCCCGTCAACGGTATTGTCACATTGTAAACTTCAGCGATGGTGGGTGGTGAATCACCCCAGGGTATGTAGAGCACTCGACCGAGTACCATCAGCGAGAAGCCACCCCAGATGAGTACGTAGTGTTCGGGGAACATTTTACAAAGCGGATTTATGGCAACGAACGTGACAAGTGAAACAACGGCGCCAACTGACATAAGAATGCCCATATAGTAGAGCGCCTCATGATTACTCCATGCAAATTGATCCATAGTGAGCGAAGTTCCGAGACTAGAAAAGAAGAAAAGGAAATGAAATTAGAAAAATCTAAATTAAACGTTGGCTATTTGTTACATTGAAGGTAGTTTGAAAAGTACTTATTACTGGGCATTTGCTTAGATTTTACCTCAACTGGAACGATATATTCTAAACAACCCAGGAAAAGGAAATCCCTGAAACTGCATGCAGATCAAGCGCCATTAGAGTTTAAAATAAGTGAAAAATTATCACAACTTTCATGCCTAGGGTCAAAATCATATCAGCTAACAAAAGCAAGCCAGAAGAGTGGATGCTAAACTGACTAGGAAGCGATCTAGGAGTGGTACTAAATCTTATCGCAGTGAAAATCTTATCCACATATATGTTTTAACCATATCGATGGGAGAGAGATGCCTTGCCCACCTCCAACTTCGTCCCTCTGTCATCCTTCTAGATTGAAATTATACTCCTCACTCATCATCAACGCTAAGAAAGATGTGACGAATACCCAACTAGTCTAACTTGATACAATAAGCAACTCAGGAAAGCTAAAATACAAGGTTTGAGAAACATATATACGTGAAGTAACTAATTCATTCAACCTCTCCAGCGGCATAGCTTAACAAAGCCAAGAGGAACGGTGTAGAAACTAGCGCTTAGGCTGACAAATGGAGCTTAAACAATCCAATAGGAAAGAGCTCTGACCCTGCTTGGCAAGCAAACTTCGCGATTCCTCCCCGCTATAACTAGAGCTGGAACCTAGAGACATTGGACCATTTTCGTTGGACTGGAGGCTGGCAAAAAACCTGTTTGGACGAAAAATAGCCCAATGTGCGATCGGTTCTTTTGATAAGTTCAAACCCTCGGGGGTAGATAGAATACGGCCAGTACGGCAGGTGGGAAAACTTCTACTACCCCACCTGATGGACAACATCAGGTGTGGAAGAGGACGCGAGTAATCTTTATACCGAATCTTGACAGAAGAGACTACGCGCCACCGAATTCTTTCCGCCCAATAAGTCTTACAAGGAGATGCCTAAATCAATGGAGACGATTATACACAATAACATCAAGACTAGGCCCGTACTAATCCCGAAAGGGTCCCGAACTAATCCCGAAATGGTCCTGAACAAGCCCCGTCCTTTAAGACTTAAACAATTTTTTCGCACTCGTAATTATTATGAAAAGACTTTTATAATAAAAGTCTCAGAATAATAGTCTTTGAAGACTTAAAAATATTTATCTCAATATAATTATTATGACAAGACTTTTATAATATAAGTCTTAAAATAAAAGTCTTTGATAATTATTATGAAAAGACTTTTATTATAGAAGTCTTAAAATAATAATTATCGATGACTTAAAATTTTTTCTCGCACATAATTATTATCCAAAGACTTTTATAATTCTAACGAAAACTTGGACGACTTTTTTAGAACTCCACCATGAAATAATTATTATACTGGGTCTTTGGTAGGCATAGATATGTAGATAGAGAGCATCCCTACTTCGAATCAGTATGGCTTAAATCGAAATTGAGTAAAATGTGGTTCAGCTGAAAACAAAAATACGATATCTAAATGGACCAGGAATCCTCTTCCAGGAAAGGAGAAGTTGCAGTCAGTGTTACCAGCGAAGTGAGGTATCTAACACTGATTGTGAATGCCGAACTTCTATGGAAAAAGCACTTCAACTAAAACATACCCAGAGCAGCGTTGCCGTTTTGATACAATTGTATAATTTTTGAGACTTTTATTCTAAGGGCCGTTTTCTCAAGTAACCTGTAACTTTAAAGCTCACTTTATNTTAAAACATACCCAGAGCAGCGTTGCCGTTTTGATACAATTGTATAATTTTTGAGACTTTTATTCTAAATTTTGTGATTTGATACTTCTTTGTTCATAAATGCCTCATTTTGATGAAATGGATTTTTGAAAACTATGAATAGTCGGCCCTATTATGGTTGTCGATGACGATGTCATTTTCTCATCAAAAATAATAGGGCCAAATATAACTAGTTTAAAGGTAAATAATTTTTTTCCTGTTATTGAAAGTCTTAAAATAAAATATTTTATATTAGTTTGATTTGGTTACTCTTAAATATAAGGGACATACAACCCGGAATTTCTTTGCACACGCCGCTGTTATAAGGCCCCTAAGCCACCCTATATATATTTTTTTGTGTTTTAAGGCTGAAACTATTAAAATAAACAACGCATGATTCGCCAAAATAAAGTTTGCGCCAATTTATTGTGTAGTAATTTCTACAATATTGACTTGGACAAGTCTCGGGTTGCGCAATGATTTTGTGTGGTTTGGAGGCCCTATACGTTTGCTTTTCGTTATACAGATTCGGTTTTTGTTGAAGCAAGTAATATTAAACTATTTTTATAACTATGGATTTAATTATAAAATTTTTTTTTGTTTTTCAAATAAAAGTTCAAAAAGTAACAGTTTTATTTGCTTTTGCTACTTTTTCTGCTTGGCAACTGATCCTTTTTTTCAAGCTCGCGGCAACGCTGTTTCAGAGCCACAAAAGCATTAATGGTCTAGAACGGTGGTAGGCACCGGTCTCCCCGCGGGCAAAGCAACATTTAGTATAGAAAGCTTGAAAGAGCTTTGCCTGCAGGCAAGCTGATGACCACCATCGGTCAAGAGAGTAACTCGTGGGGGCGTAGTCCCGAAATCCTTAGTGAATCTACATTGTTACATGTGGTACAACCTATGGTAACACATGGAGCGATAGCTTGAGTCTCAAGGGCTACCCAAGACACAGTGAAACCGTCTCTAACAAAGCTACAACGGCTGGAGATTATACTACAACTGAATCTTTTAGACTTAATCAGAGAGCAGGTGAAAGAGTTTTCGCAGAGAAAAGGTCATATCATCCAAGAATAAGGAGAAATAAGGATCCCAACTTTCGCTGGCCTTACTTAACAATGTTGATAGGCCACAGAAGATAGTATTTTAGAAGAGGTTCACAGGCATTTTTACAGGACACTGTAGACTTTAGGGTCACTTGCACAAATTGGGATTTTGGTCAAAAATCTCTGCCGCTTCTGTGGTTCGACCAAAGGACACCTCTGCACCTGGCATTTGAATTCTATGCGATTTTCAGNCACAAAAGCATTAATGGTCTAGAACGGTGGTAGGCACCGGTCTCCTCGCGGGCAAAGCTACATTTAGTATAGAAAGCTTGAAAGAGCTTTGCCTGCGGGCAAGCTGATGACCACCATCGGTCAAGAGGGTAACTCGTGGGGGCGTAGTCCCAAAATCCTTACTAGAATCTACATTCTTACATGTGTGGTGCAACCTATGGTAACACATGGAGCTGGTCTTACTTAACAATGATGATAGGCCACAGAAGATAGTATTTTAGAAGAGGTTCACAGGCATTCTTACAGGACACTGTAGACTTTAGGGTCACTTGCACAAATTGGGATTTTGGTCAAAAATCTCTGCCGCTTCTGTGGTTCGACCAAAGGACACCTCTGCACCTGGCATTTGAATTCTATGCGATTTTCAGGTAGGAAAAATATACTACTTTTAAAGAACATTGGATTATAGGTAAATACTTACGTTTCGAGCAGCACAAAATTGAAGACCAACACAAAGAATGCCATAATCAATGTCCACGCTGAGACATAATCCGGTTTGATGGCTTTCCACGTTTCACGCTCCGAGCTTTTGCCCTGCTTTATCATAATTTCACGTGCTGCGATCTTATGTTCCTATATTTCAAAATTTATATTCAGTTTCATTATAAAGAACTTTTAAACATTATTTGCTAACATACCTCAAATAATCCCGGCAGAAACATAATAAAATTCCCAATGCTCATAATCACATTTATCCAGCCGCAAGCGGTGTACATGTTGAAGACAAAAAAGCCCGATAGGAGGGAATAGCCGTCATTGCCCAGCGGTGTAACGGCGGTTTGCATGCCCGGGCCAACAATGAAACCCAACACCTGCGCGAGTGAGACCATCGAAACAGCTTTAGTGCGTTCGCTGAGACGTGTCGCCGCCGACAGATATGAACGACAAACAGCAATATTGGACGAGCTGACGCCTATCAGAAAACGTGAGATCAACATCCAGTACTTGACATTATCGGGACGCATTTCCAGCGATGAATAAAGACCACTGGCAATTGTGAAGAGCACTATGGAGCAGAGCAACGGTAAGCGGATGGTGCCGATTTTATTGCTCCACCAACCGAATAGTGGACTAAAAATCATCTGTCCCAAAGGATTGGCGGCCACGATAAGACCCATGAACTCTTTGCCAGCATGTGGATCTAGCTATGAACAAGTGTGAAAATGTGAAATTTTTTCTTAGATATAAGGACTTTTTATCATTCTATCAAATAAATACCTTATTTAAGTATGGCCATATGCCTGTCAATATAATACTGAAACCAAGCGACATCAGGAACATTGTGAAGTAGATAACGCGCACCGAACGCCAACGGCTCTGATATTCTTCCAGTGTTTCGAGCCCATCATCGACATCGTCGGGCAGTTTTGGTAATTTACTAAAACGATTATTTAAGTTGCCCATTGCTGTTTGAGAATGAGGTTTGCATATGTGAACAAATTTAATATTTGTTGCTTTCAAGTCAACAATTTGTGTCTGGCAGCTGTAGTCAACATTTGAAATACACGGCTAGGGGGTGGACTAATTAGAAATGTTTGACTACATGTAAGTACTAATTTAGAAGATAGGGCGATTGGTATTCACTTTATAGCTGAATTACATGTTGCTCGAAACTCTGAAAGTAGCAAAGAATTTATTAATGAAATAAGGATTTTTAAATTGAAAAATACACCAACATATGTTTCTATTTATTACTATGTATGTATGTAAATCTCTACTGTGGTNATATGTACATATGTTTCTATTTATTACTATGTATGTATGTAAATCTCTACTGTGGTTTCTCGCTAGCTTCATTTAAGTTCAAATGTTTCCTGCTTGTAATAACAAACTACATTCGTTTAAGCAAATGCAATGGCGTCAACAAACGACAGGATATGCAATCAGCTGCGACGAGTGTGTCAAAATGGGAAAAAGGAAAATGTCATCGCATCGAAAAAAGCTTATTGCACGTGAAAAGCTTAAAGTTCAAGGTACAGTAGGATAAAAGGATCTAGAAACTGTTTTAAACAAAAATGCATACACAACCATTAGGGTGGTATCGCAAAGTGGAAATCATGCAACGATGCAGTAAAAAATAATGAGCTTTAAATATATTACACCAGGGCTGGGAATATCCGTTTAATTGGATATCCGGATATCCATTCGGATATTTGTGTATATGGATAACATCCGAATACCCGGCTAATATCGCGGTTGTTATCCGTATAATCGGATTTTTAATCAGATATCCGAATATGCGGATTATTCGGATATTCAAAAAATCCGTATAGAACACCCAGCCCTAAAATGCACATATCACACCGAAGAGTGCAAATTACAAGCCGTATAGAGATGTACTCTAGGCATAGGCATGTATGTACATATATTTGTATGGGTTCCATTATACATTATTCAAGCCCGTGATAAGCGCGGATAAAATCCGGATATCCGGTTAACATCAGTACGTTAATTATTCTATCCGGATAACCGGTTAATATCCGTAAAATATTTTCCGGATATTCGACCATTTTTATCATTATTTCGAATATTCGGATATTCCAAAAATCCGGATAGAACTCCCAGCCCTATACTGCGAATAGAGTACATATGTATGTATGTGCGTATGTGTTCCATTACACATTATTTAAGCCCATTTCAATTTCTCCGCCGATTTATTTATCGTTCCGTTCGGATATTCGTGTATACAGAAAAAAACCCGATATCCGGATATCTGGTTAATATTAGTTCTATTTTTTTGTCCAGATATCCGGCTAATATACGCTAATTTTCCTATCCGGATATCCAGTTAATATCCATTTATATATGTGAATATTCAAGAAATCCGGATAGAACTCCCAGCTCTATATTGTACATATCACAAATGATAGTATTACAAGCCGAATAGAGTACTATATGTGTTCCATTATACATTGAATATTTCTATTTCTCCCCCGATTTATTTGCCGATATTTTTAATTATTTTTAATCGATTTATTCAAACAAATTGAAATAAAAAGTATGAAATTTAAAGAAAAAGCATTTTCTTAGTTTTTATTCACACACCCTAACGGCCAAAATAACGAAAGCGACATCTTTTTCAAAATTTTCTTTTGGATGCTGAAATATTCCTAGAGCATTTAGGTGCATTTCTGCATCAAAAGGAAGGTTTTGAAAAAAAATCTCGCTTACGTTATTTTGGCGGTTAGGGCTCGTTATGTTGATATCTGTACAATTATCGACCGGAGTTCTTAACAATTAACTGTTAAATAGAGACATACATTCATCGGAATAATTTTTGACAATCGTTTTCTCTTGATAGTTTTCAATTTATGTTTTCCGATAAATTTATCAATTATAAATCATCGATTAGTCGATTATTAATTTATTGATGCTATTACCTATGTACTCATGTACCTACATAAATCGTTATTGATCCAAGCTATCACTCCAATTCCCATGTTATTCGATAAATTTATCGATTTATTTCATTTTATTAACATTTATGGACCGATTTATTTATTATTCAACCTCTATGAAACTAGGTATTATTTATCGATATGGTTAGCAAAATGTTTACCCTTGTTGTTGTCGATATGTAAATCAAAGTTAGTACATATTTCGACATCTTCATCCAAATAAATAGTTATCGATATCACTATTACGATGGTTAAATTATGGTTTATGAATTCGTTCCAAGTTTGAATTCTTAAATTATTTAATTTTCGGACATGACTGGTATAGTGTGATGCTATATATTGTATATGAGTATATGATCTCTACTCGTAAAAGCCAGGTGGCTTTAAAATCGCTCAAAAACAGCCGACAACCTACATGGTAGCCATAAAATGCCGTTATTCTCTAATAGATACAGCTGAGTAATTACGTTGAAATATATAGAATGTGGGCTCCAGGCCGCCAGGGGGAATCGTAAAGCCAACGAACCAGCAAAACTGAATACAAAGCTTCCCGAAAGGTATTACCTTACCATCTTGTAAAATTCAGCTGGGGAAACTAGCCTACAAAAGGCAGTAATATCGCCCGATCAAGAGAATTATCCTAGTAGTGAATACACTTGATAACTTGCTACTTCCGTACTACACGTGTCACCCAGCGAAACATCAGCATCGCTTCCGTAAAGTACATAGTACCAGAGCTCGAATCGTAACATCCGTTCACGGATCGAAAACGATACGAAAGAAAATTACGTGATAAGTCAGGCAGTATAAGCTGAATGGGACAAAGAGTACGTTCACGTATGTCATCATCCGAAAAATGTGTTTTAACGTGATGAGTACTATCTTATCTTGGCAAGTGGCGGGCCTTCGATGATGTCAATTAACACGCTTACCTCATACATAAGTAAGTACCAAACTCCAAAGTGTTATTTCTTTATTCGAAAATGAGACCAATATTCAGATTTAATTTTTTCAATCTCTCAGTCAGAAGTTGCAGGTTTTAGTCCGAAGTTTTTCTTCCTACAAGTTCATGAAAAGTGTCAAACGATAGGCAGGGTTGCATTTGTAAGCAAAAACCGAACCTTAAGCGCCACTTGCAGCCGGGTAAAATACTAAAATTTTGGCTAAGCTATTTTTAGTGAAAGGGAGGACAGGAACGCAATTTTCGGAAATAGCCAAAAATTCGATAGCGATAGCGAAAGTTAGACTCTGGCCGCTGGTCGATACAGTTGGCTTTTTGATTTCTAAAACAACTCCATCAGTTAGAAACTGGGTAATACTTCCATAATTTTCGTCTTTGTTTGATAAATAGTCGCAAAAAATACGCGTTTTTTTCTTCTAAGACTTTCATGAAACTTTCGCATACATATATCAATAGCACCAAATTTGTTTTCCAAGCCTCTCTTTCTTTGAACATCCAAGCAGCCAAACTACAAACATCTCGCATTTTGTATTAGCATGATAGCCCAGAATGAAAACAAATTTTCTTCAAAGCGGCTAAAAACGGCTTAAGCTAAATAAAATCAACTCACTACATCCCATTTTATACATTTCCATTTCTTTTTCGCTTGCCGAAGGCAAATTTTTGAGGTTATGCAAATAAGTCAGCTTGTTTTGCAAAGAAATTATAAAAAGTTACTTTTTTTTAAATTTGGATACAGGTTCTCACTTATATTTTTGTGTTCCATTAAAAACTTTCCTTTAATTATTCGAACTTAATAAAAATAAATGCACTTTAAACTTAAGAAATAAACCGGTTGCGCAAACAACGTGTCAATAACGTTTAGAAAGTGTAACTTTGTTTGATTTCTGTCTAACGGTGATTTTTATTATACAAAAACAAAGTGAAGTTTCTGTCATTTTATAGTATTCCCTATATAATGGCAAAAAATATAATGTAAAACTGCGTTTATGAAATTGCACTTTCGCACAGCCAAATTAATCATTTGACCTAATGTGAAATGGTTTAAATGTTCATGTGACTAAGTACGTACTACGTAAGTATATATGTACATATGTACTTATTTGTTTATATTAATATCTCGCACGCTTTTAACAGCGAGCCGGTAAACACTAGTGCTGCCAGGTTTTTTTCCAGCCATACGGGACATAAGCATAATTTGTCCCAAAAATACGGGACAAATCGAGAAATAAAGGATTTGCTTTAAACGCCCAACTACGTAACATGTTATATTAACAAAGGTGATCCATTTCAAAGAAGTAATGCTCAGATTAGTTATAAGCTTATGATAAATTTCGTTTATTGCTTGGCAACACTTTTTAATCTATACAAACATATGTATGAACGTAAATATAAATAGCAGCAAAATTCAATGCTGTTGGCAACTTATCTTTATTTATATATTGTTAATAATTTTCATTTAAAATATGGGTCGTTCGTTATCAGATACCACATAAATAAAAGTTTCAAAGCTTGCAAAAAGTTCACAAAAATTAAACTTAAAAAAAAATTCATAAAAATTTCGATGTTTTTAATTAGATCTTCTAGAAAGATTTCGAGTATGCGGTTTTATAGCCCATTCAATTTCGGTACAATAAAGTGCAAGTTTCGAGTTGCTAAAAATTGCAATTGATTTTTTAGATTTTTTTATTGCGGAGGATGTTGCGCATTTTCTNGGTAATTTTTAGCTATATTTCTCTTACAGAGTTACATGCAATAATGCTTGCTAATGACCTACTCACAATAGCCGCGTCAAACCATGACCATGTTGAATAGAAGTTTACAGGTTGAAAAGAATGTAAGAAATTGTCGAACACGGGAAAAATATGGTCCCGGCGGAACATTTCAAATTTAATGCAAAATACGGGACGTCACGGCAAATACGGGACATTTGGCAACGCTATAGTTAATCGTGAATAAATCAAAGTTCATGCGGTATACCAGTACATACATATATTAATTGCTTTTCCAGCGCAAGTACCAAAGGTGCAAACCTATTCACAGGTTAATTTAACGCTTATTAGTGT